CTTAGCAGTGTATTTTGAACATTTTTTCTTGCATTAAAACTGTTCTATAAATGTCCCATAATTTAGGTTGTTTTTAATCTTTACCTTTTTGTGCTAGTATCAAACTGTTCTAATTATTGTATCTTTATGGTTTATTTAAATATATAGTAAAACTAGCTTTTAATACTTATTTTTCTCTGTGCTGTGCTTAGTTGTTCAGTCTTTCCAACTCTTTGCGATCCCATGGACTGTAGCCTGCCAGGCTCCTCTGTCCATGGGGATTCTCCAGGCAAGAAAACTGGAGTGGGTTGCCATGCCCTCCTACAGGGGATCTTCACAACCCAGGGATCGAAACCAGGTCTCCCACATTGCAGGCGGATTCTTTACCATCTGAGCCACCAGGGAAGCCCAAAACTTAACTCTCAAAGCAGTTCATTTTCTAGAATAATGATATATTTAATTTGTAATGTTCTCCAACAACCCTATTATGATTCTAACTGTAATTGTGTTAGATAAACTTTATAGTGGCTAGAATTTTAATCAGGATGGTTTTGATAAGAATAGATGAATTTTGAGTGCAGAGTCTGGCTGAAGCAAGTTTTAGGTCAGTGTCTTGGATTGAAAATCTGGGAGTCCAGGAACCTAGAACATATACTTAATTGACTATTGTTGGGGCCTTGGAGTATTGCCATGGAGTCACTCATAACCATGGTTCTTGGATTTGTGGATTGTGAATCCTTTTTAAAAGCATTTGGAAGATGTGTGCCATTATCCTTCAAAGGTACATAAACATAGAACTTTAATACAATTCCAGGATATTAGGAAACTCCTGAAATCCATTTATGGATCATGAACTAATAATTTCTGCTTTGGGAACTAAAGAATACAAAATAGAGTAGTCAAGTAGTCAGAAAAATCTAGTTGTGGGCTATATAGCATAACTTGGTTATGGTGTTCAGTTGCTAAGTCCTGTCCGACTCTTTGTGACCCCATGGACCGTATAGCCTGCCAGGCTCCTCTGTCCATAGGTATGGTAGTGTCTGAAAAGAAAATAATATTTTTGTGGTACATGGATTGATAATCAGATATTGTAACCAACTAGTAAGAATACTGAATTTTCCTGATGACACTGGAATGAGGAGGAGGACATTGAATAACAGCCTTGGAATGCCTAGGCTAACCAAGGAGTAATTACAGAGAATTCCATGGACAGAGGAGCCTGGTGGGCTACAATACACGGGGTCACAAGAGTCGGACACGACTGAGTGACTAACACTTCACTTCCAAGGAAGACAAACAAGCCAGGGTGGTTGGACAGAAAGTGAATTTTTGAGTCACTTAGACCTGAATCTGAATCTCAGGTCTGCCCCTAACTGGCAATCAGAATTTAGGCAAGTCACACACCCTTTCTGAGTCTAAATATATTACAACTGCTATTAACAATGACAGTAATAAACTACACCAAGAACATAGAGCATTTCTGAAGTGTAAATATTAAGCTATTGTTAATAAGAAGAGTCAGGGCAGAAGAGCAAACTGTTCAAGGTGAATTTGGATTTTTTTTTTGTAGTTAAAGCATAGTTCAGCAAAAGCTAGTTCTTATAGAATGTTAAGACTAGAGGCCAATAGTAATTAGCCTCCAACTAATAAAAATAAATAAAATAAAAAAGAAGAAACCAGCAGATAAAAAAATAAATAAATAAAGACTAGAGGCCTGAATTGAGATTTCACTAAGAAAGCCAGTATTATTGGTAATCATCAGAAATTTAAGAAAAGGACTAATGAGCAATTATTCCAGTTGGAGAAGATGTGTGCTTTAAAGGAGTACCCAAGAGACTGTATTGCCATTTTGTAGATCATTAGTATTTTTCAGTAATCGTAATAGCAATGAAAACTCACATTTCTTGAGAACTTACTCTGCCAAGACCTATACTAAACACCTTATATGCATTTTGAACTTTACAACAACCCCCAGGGGGTAAAGATAGCATCTTTATCTGCAATTTATCAATGAAGCAATAGGTTATAGACTGGTGAGTGGTGGATCTAGGATTTATTCCTACATTTAAGCATTAAATGGTTACCTCAAGTTAGTATACTCATGTTTTTGCCATATAACCAAAAAAGTTCAAATGAGTAGGAATTTTTTCATAATCTTCACCATGTACAGAATTTATTTTGAAAATGAAGAATTTGTTAAAGTTATCAGAACTGCCCTCTTCCTACATCTGTATTTCCGTGTAACAATGTTAACTAAAGAAATACAAAATTCTAAAGTGACTTCTGATGCATCAAGCATTAGTTTTTTTATTTAATGTTTTTATTGTGGTCTGAAGTATGTATTCTTATAGATTACTTTTTCAGTTAACTGCATTTAATTAAAGGAATATTGATCTAAACATAATTATTAATATATGTGTGTATATATTCAAGCATAAGAAAAAATTCAGTCAATCCATTAAATATTTTATGCACATAAGTCCAAATGTTTTCTTTCATTTGATCAGAAGTTTGTCAGATAAGAAACATAACATCTTTAGTTTTGCTAAAACTAAAAATTAATTTTTACTGTAAGAACTATGCAGTTTGGTGCTGTATCATGTAATGATCATTTACATAAGATAATCTCATCTGAGAGCAATCTATTTTTTATTTGTCTTAAGTAAAACTGACATCTTAGTAATCTAAGGTGTCTTTTCTTGGCTGTTAAATCTTTTGTGGGGATATTTAAGAGAGTGTTGAGTTTAAAATAAATATTTTAAATCTTAAAGTATTTTTACATTCAACTGTTTAAAAGCTTGGTTATAATCTATAAATTTTTCTAAGAAGATTTGAATGTGACTTTAGTGAATATACTGCTTTAGAACTTGAATTATGAGTTCATTTTCTTTATCTAAACTGTGAGTGCTCCTTATTTGTAATATAATATGTTAGTGAGAAGGAGGGAAAAAAACTAGTGCCAAAAAGATTTTGTGATAAGATCTCTATGTCTGAAGTCATGGTCTAGTTAATTTAAAACGAAAGCGAAATTCTGAAATTCCTTCACTAGCGATCAGCATTTATTGAGACCCTTTGGATTCGTAAAAATATTTATGGTTACAAAAGTATTTTACACTTTATATATGATTAAGATTTAATTTCCTACCTTATTTTTGGTTTGGCTTTCCTTTGTCTGTTTTCTTCTCCTTTTTTTAATTGGAAAAAAAAAAACTAATAGAGCCAAATATAAGATGGTACCACTGTTTTCTCCTTCTTTTGTATAATCTTGTTGCGTGTCTCTACATAAGCTGTTCTGGCCACTCATCATAGTAACCAGCTGGGCCATTTCACCTGCTGGAGCCATTAAAGAGGACTCTCTCCCCCTAGATTAATCCCCTCCGACATTAGTTTTTTGCACTGACAACTGGAGCAGGCATTCAGAATTTGCAGGTGGCCAGTGTGACGCACATAATTGCCTACAATTTTAGGCAATGAATAAAAATGGTCTACATTACTTGTCAAAGGTTGTATATGCAGTGCCAAGTGAGATCTATGGGAAGCCTTTTAGGGTTTAAAGAACAGTTAATAGCAAGGCTGCACAGGGCTTTTTTAATCATAATGCATTTGTAATATAGCACTTTGATCTTCTCCTTGTAGGAAATGGTGTTACATTAGCCACTTTTAAACATTTATGAGTGAAATTCAGTTATAGAAGAGTAAAAGTGATTATTCTTAAGCAGAACATGTTAGATTTCATTAAAAGTTTTTAGCTTGCCCCTTTCTTGTTAAAGTCTGTGGGAAGTCTTTTTCCTGGAGGGTTTCAAATCAGGATCTAAGGATATAGAGCCTTTTCCTTATTTTTCCTGTTGGTAACAGCAAGATTTGGAAGGAAGGTATACTAAATATTGAGGTAATTTAATAAGTAGATATTTATAGAAGACTCACTGATTTATGATAAGTAACATACATCAATGAAAATCTAAGAACTCTATTACTAATAATTGTGTATTACAATAAAATTTAAGAAATGCATATTTAAAACATACTCATAAGTTACCTTTAACAACAACAACAAAAAACAGATGACTCTCAAACGCACTTCTTCTAGAAGAGCTAAGTTTGACCTTTCAGACCCAAGAGCCTTTTATTAACACCTGCCTGTAAGGAGAACCTTGCCACACGCAGCTTTTAGATTCAGAACCACAAAACTGATGAGGAAAGGCTTGAAGGGTTCAGTTTGTGTCACTTGCTGTTTGCCGTTTCCATTTCACAGATGATTAATCTTTCTGTGAAGAAAGGCCAGAGAAACAAAGCACATTGGGCTCTTCCTGCAGTTACTCCTTCTGAATGCACACTAGCTTGCTAACTAAAAGGCCTTTAGATTTCCAGCAGAGAGAGATGTTCTGAAAGTGAATGCAGCTGGTTGGAGGTCACCAGTGCAGGGCTCTTGCCATTGTGTAATGGAGGCTTTGGCAGGTTGTGGGAGGGTGGGGGTTTGGAGTCAGGGACAGGAGAAGTGGGCAGGGAGAAGGTGTCGACAAAAAATTAATTCAGAATAAAAAGGGTTTTGGTCAGCTGATTTAATATTTTGGAGGCTAGATCATCAATAATAGGCTCAATTTCATCTATTTTTGTTTTTCTTTTTAAGGAAAAATTATAATTCAGTATTTCTCTAGTATCCCCCATTTCCTAATTAATAGCATGTTTATCTTGCAATTAACATTACTCAATAGTATTGAAATATTATTAACTCTTGTAGACTTTGGTGTGTTTTAATTGTCTTGAATATTTTTAAGATTATTACTGGCTTTGCTAGTATTCCACATTTCACATGTTAAAATGTTAATGCCGCATTAATGTTTCATTGCTATTTGGTTTTTTAATGAGATATTGAAAATGATTATCTGTGTGACTCAGTTCTCTTTTCATAAAAAAGTTGACTTTATTTTTATTTTGAGGGTTTGAAAACTTTAAATTTTAATATTTAGTATCTAAATGCTTAGTATTTATCTTGTATTTACTTTTCTTCCAATTGTATATAGGACATAATGTGCAAAGTCAAATCCTGGGTTATAGATCAAAAGAAACCTGTTCGATTCTATCATGATTGGAATGACAAAGAGGTAAGTTATAAATATGATGCCATCTATTATTACCTTTGATTTCTTAGAGAACAAGTTAAGGTTGTCATTATTTTTCACTTATTTTTATGCTAGTAAAACTTTATTTCTCTCAGTGCTTTCTTATTCCCAAACTTGTTATTTTTTTCTTTTCCTCTACTCCTGATATTTCATGACAACTAATCTTTAAGAAACAAAATCTATTAAAATAAAAATGACTACTTGTTTAAATAGAATTTTCTTTCAAGTTCTTCAGTGACTTTATTTACTCAACTTTTAAAAAGGATTCTTTTTCTGTCTCCCACTTTAGATTGAAGTATTGAATAAACACTTATTTCTGACTTCAAAACCAATGGTCTACTTGGTTAATCTTTCTGAAAAAGACTACATTAGAAAGAAAAACAAATGGTGAGTTTTTTTCTCTCCAGATATATACCCTCACATATATCTGTATACATACAAGCACACACATATGTACTTACTGCTATGTTTGATTTTAATACATTTCTCCTTATTATTAAAAACTTTAAAATGGAAGGGAAAGCTTTGCCTGTTGTTAACATTTTGAGATGAGTCTCCAAATGATTTACACTGAGAGAACTTAAAAGGGGAAAAAAGCAATACATTAGGCAGTTTCAAATTATATATATTTAATTATCAAACTTAAATTGAGTAGACATTGATGTTTTTTCCTGTGCAAAATGAGAATAAATGTAGTTAGAGTAATACAACTTTTTAATCTAGGGTATTTTAACTTTGTTGATGTTTTATATGACTTTAAAATACCTGCTTGGGATCGTAGCTGGACATAAGTTTTAAAATCCAGATTGAATGCTTTAAAAACTTTTTTTTAATTAAAAATACTCTATGGTGGAGGGAAAGATCAGGTATTTGTTTAAAATATACAAATGTAAAAATGATGCACTCATGTATTGATTGTCATTTTTGACATGTAACCAAAATGTGCAAGTTTTCCTTTTTGTTCACTTGTAGCTTCAAAAAATCATATGTTCATGTAGTATATGGGCATGTACACATTTGGCATCATACTCACTGGAGTCTCAGTATTTTATGCTATTAAGCCTACAAGCCAAAGCTATCCAAAGCAAAATATCTGAATTCTCCTAAAATATATTGTCGTTTTTTCCCCTGTACTTCATTAAGTACTTAGATGCACATGGTTTCAATTTTCCATTAAAAATTCTCATTTCCATATGATATCAAAGAGTGAGAAGCTTTAAACTGAAAAATAAACATTCATAGACTGGAAGCCAAAACAATAATTAATGTCAGATGGTTAACTCCAATAAATCATTAGAATAAATTCTGTGAAATTACTGCAACTAAAAATGCCCTCTTGATATTACTGTAAGACAGTTTGTGTTCCTGATAGGAAACTGAATTTGGCCTCTTTATTGATAATGTTCCAGAAAGTGTAAACCTGACATGAAAATTTAGTTCTGACTGGTCAATATCCTCTAATAGATAATTAACTTTAAAATAAATAATTCTTATTTCTTATATAAAATTCTTATAAATTTCATGATTGATATGTTAAAAATTGTTACTTTGGGGAAGGAATTTTAAAATATATTATTTGACTTCAGTTAATAAATCTCACTGTAGTACGAATGGTAAGGCTTCCTGAGGCTCGGTGAAACAATACAGACATCCAAGTTTACATGAAAAGGGATGAGTCAGTTTCCTTGCCCAAAGGGGCTGGTCACACCTGTGTTTGGCTGATTACAGGTAGAGCTCCCTGGCTCTAATTGTATAGTAAATGCCATTTCCCAGACCCTAATGGTAGACAGACTGCTTGGGAGACGCCAGTCTGTGATTTAGCTGTCGCCAGACACCCCATGCTTTTTGTGAGGCCAGTTGTGATGATGATATGGTTATAGCCAATTGAAAGTAAACTCTTGTCTAAATAGCAAATTTTAATTTATAAAAATGTAGAAGTATGGATGATCCTATTTATAAAACCAAATTTTGGATTTTATGTGTAACTAATGATCTGGTTTGGGGGAGTATGTGTGTTTGTGGAGGTTGCCGGTGGAGGTGGGGGGGGGGGGGCGGGAGTCAGATCTTGTGGAAGTTAGTGTAATTGTAGCTGAAAGATCAAAGACTGGGTAACTGAGTGATGTTCCAGAAGAGAATTTACCACATAGCCATTTTCTGTACAGTTTCTGCCGCCTGCTGTTCCTATTTTCCCTCAAGCTAGCCATTGACTACCCCCTGTGCATCCCTGCTCGTAAAAAATGATTGAGGAAGTATTTGTCATGTATTTATGAGTGGGAAACATTGTGTGATAGGGAATGGCATCTACTGGAGCCAGAAAGATTGCCATTTTCCTTTCATTCAGCCACTCTGCTACAGCTTTAAATCCTCTGTTTATGCAACACAGCCTTTGTATTAAAGTGCAGCATAAATTTTTATTATGAAGGATATGAACACTAGGTTTTCATCACTTATAACATTGTGAGCAGATGTCAATAGTTAAAATATATTTTAATTGCTAAATCCTTTAAATTTCTGTTAGCATCTTATTCTTTGGTAATGTTTATATCTCAGCTCCATTTGCATTAGTTGCTCCCTTAGCAGAAGAAAAGGGTTTTTTTTAAGGTTATTAAGTAATATAATGTAGCAAATTAAAACTAAGGCAGGAAGCAGTAATAAATATTTTCGTGGGTCTTTTAGATCTGGAAAACTATTTTAAATGGTCAGGGAAGAGGAGGAAGAGTGTGATTTTGGCCACAAGAGGAAGACTAAAACTATATCTTAATTACTAAAATTCATTTTAAACTTAAATGTTAACGTGTTATTTTTCAATCCTAGAAAAGAAGTAAACATTTTGAGAGATAAGTCTATTGTGCTACTGAGTAGATGTGTTGACCTTTTTGAAAGATGTAAACACCAGAATGACCCCAAATATCACTGATTTTATCAATGTTGAATTAGTCAGTTCATTCATTTATGATTAAGACCTAGCTCCTGAAGAAAAGCTAACGTGGCAGCTAGGTTAGTTACAGGTGAGTTGTGATCAGATGACAGTAAGCAAGATGCTATAAGGGAAATCCACAGAAACCTTTATTATTATTATATATTGTTATGCTTTGAATGACTAAAACTATGCAGCCATTGTTATTATGTTGTTGTCGTTGTTGTCTTTGGCAGACGTCAGTGATTTTTTTAACACTTGAGGATTTTGTATATTAAACATGATCGGTTACTTATAACTAAGATTTATTACATGCAGTATTAATTTTCATTTGAGATTGCCTGCTAAATCATGGTGTCAAGCAGGTATAGGACATTAGTCCTGCCAAACAGTTGCTTAATTAGGGAGAGTAAATTTCAGTCTTTGCATGTTTGTTGCTCTGTTAGTATATGCTATCTAATTATGAAATCTGCAGAACAAACTAATTTTGTGCACCTACATAGCTTTCTATTATGTTTCATTTTCGTGTTCTCTTGTCCCCATCCTTCTTAAAACTGTTAATAAAGGATAATTTCATTTTATTGTTTATTATACTACATATTTATATTCAACTGGAAAGTATAACTAAAATTTAAGACATTCAGACTTCTTGTGTGCCTGTGTGTTTTTATAAACATGTATGTGCATATGCCCTGGTGGGCTTGTGGTCACGGAACATTATTCTCCAATATTACATAAATCAATTAATCTGAGTGTTGAAATTTATTTGATAGGTAGACCGTACTTGCAAAGTCTTCTAAGCTATTATGTAATGAAGGGCAATGTGTCAGGTTCACTAAATGAATTTTGAATAGAAAATGTTTTATTAATTTTAATTTTTCTATGATTCAGTCTTTCTTATCCCAGCTTTTCTGTTTTTGTTCATTTTCCACATAATTTGTAACTAACAACTAAACATAGTTTGGCAATACTGTACAGTGTGTACCTGGCCAAGGAGAGAATCATGGAATAAGCCCAATATTTTCTTGACTTTTTGAACTATATGTAAGAATCACAGGTATTACATCTTAGCAGTTATTTACAAAGGGGGAAGTGTGAACATTTTTGCATATAATTTTTAATGTGTGCTTAGTCGCTCAGTCACGTCCAACTCTTTGTGACCACTTGGACTGTAGCCTGCCAGGCTCTCTGTCCATGGGTATTCTCCAGGCAAGAATACTGGAGTGGGTTGCCATGCCCTCCTTCAAGGGATCTTGCCAACACAGGGATCAAACCCAGGTCTCCCGTATTATAAGCGGATTCTTTACTGTCTGAGCCACCGGGGAAGCCCAGTTGTTGTTGTTTTTTTTTTTAATGTATATATAACATAAAACAAAACTATATTCATGTATTTTACAGGCTATTCAGGGAAAAAAATACCTTTCAGATATATAGGAATAGTTTGAGCTGTAGTATCTATTGGTTTCTTAGGCTTTCTTGTATAAGCTCATCATATATTCACAAAAAGTATGGATGTTGACACATGAGCATACTTTATACAGCTGCTATAATTACTGCTGCTTCTACAGGTATTTAGTTGTTTGTCAACTCTCCATGGAGGTAATACTGAATGATCATCTGCCATACTGTGAACCTTAGGTTTTATTTTCCGATTTACAGTAGGAGGTCTGACAGAAGTTGTTCTACCTAATTCATCCTTGAACATTGTTCTCCACAATACATATTATGTACATTTCCATTATGTGTTATCAACAGGAGTAAGTATTCACCGCTATAGGAAGATTCGTTCACTGATTTCCATTATTTTCAGGCTATACACTTTATATGAGCAAAAGTCCACTTCCACAATTATATTTCTAGGTTTATATAACCTTCTTCACACAGCATTTTCTTGGATTTTCAGGAGTGCTGTGATTTATTCTGTAAAACTCTTATGAGAAGTCTTCAGTTTCTGACAAGATTATTCACTGAAGCTAGAAATTTAACATATATTTACTGCTTTGAAAAAAAAAATCATTGTTGTACATTTGATTTACTTGAAGCAAATAAAATGGGAATGATTAATTATTCTTAAATAAAATATTCATTTTAGTTCAGGAAACTTCTCAAATAGTTATAAAATTAGGTCCAATTCATGTAAAGTTTTCAGGAATATACTCTAGTATCTAAAGCAAGATTCACAAGTATAAGATTTTTTTAAATGTTTCACTTTATCATCCACTAGTCTGGCAAAGTAAAAGCCCTGAAATATCCATATAGTGTTTTTTTGGGATTATAATTTCTATTTAACATGTGAGAAGTTTTTTAGCTGAATTAAATTTGGAAAGCTATAATTTGTAATTTTTACTAGAGATTGCTTTATGAGGACTACTGCATGTTTTCTTCATTGCCAGATAGAAAAGGGTGGTAAGACAGGTCAAGGGTATTCTGGAAGCCTAAACTGAGCTATTCTTTTTTTCAGTATGGGATT